TTGGGCACCCGACTTTCTGCTGTGTCTAGTTTCCCGAAGATCATTAAAGGCCAGCTCACTTGCTGAATCTGATTTCTCCTCAATATCGGTTTCAGAATCCTCGTCAATCTCAGCAAGATTGACCTCAGCAGTATTGTCAGCTAGACTTGTGCCAGGGCCTCGTAGACTGAGGCAACTGTTTGATGAAATGCTGCTTGTATTCTGGTCTGATCGGATGATGGCACTAGAACGATCGACGTTTCTGGTTCGTTCAATGGAATCGAATAACAGTACTTGACTAGCTAAAATTGCAGACTGGAAAAACATTTACAGATGAAACACCACATGGATCAGAGTACACAAATTCTTACATAAAAAAGGTTAACTATTTTAGAAATTAAGGCAAAGAGTCACTAAAAAATTAGGTAAAAACTAGTAGAAATCATATTAATTAAGAAAATGGGTTTTTAGCCCCACCAGAGTAAAGTACTTATTTGGAAAAAAATAGTTAGGTTATTCTCTATCAAGCTTCTTTGCCTATTAAACAAGAGTAGTTTAACTAAAAGCAAATAATTTTAGAGGGGATCATATCGCGAATATGAGTCTTCTGTCTGTGGACAGCTTCACCAGAAATGCTAGGTATTCATCGAGGGACCACTCTCGAAAAGATATTACTTAGAATCACTTTTTATCATAAAGATAGATTAGTAGCATGAAGGCTTGCAAGAGATCTGTTCAAGAGGAATAAAAAAGAATACTCGCATTTTGCGCCATAAATCCCAACAGTGTCTCCTCATCATGAAATCGCCAGGGATCCAATTGTCCTAAAATTGGTTCAAATCTAGGACAGAAAGATGAGACATATAGGCTATAATGTTCACCACACCACCGCAGTTATGAGAAAGGCGACAAGTAAAATAAGCATTTCTAAGCTCACCATTATAGTGGGGATAGAGTGACACTTGATTATTTTTTTAAGACCAGATGTGCTATAAGTATCCCAATAGTTACTTTATAAATAGTTAGCTAGTGCACTAAACAGAGCAATTAATAAAGATAAAATAACAGTGTGATTTCAGACCCACAGTGAAGGGCTTAAACAATAATGTAATATTGTTATACAACTTACCGCATCAAATTGTGTCTGTGATGGCACCATGTTGCCAGAAAAGTTACCGAGCAATGAAGGTCTTTCAGAAAACACCAAATTTTCAGTATAAGAGGAACGTCGACGCCGGCAGAGAACTTCTAGACAAGCAATGGCACCAACGATACCAATCGCCTTAAGAAGAGGAGATGAATGCATCAGTTGTCGGCGCAAAAGAATAATCAAATTATCTTGAAGCTGTACATGTTCTCGGCCGCTATATAAATTAGATAACATTAATTGAAGTTAATGAAATTCTGCTTAGACCTGTTGGTCATAAAATAAGTAAAAATTAGGTTTATATGTGTACTCACTCTATTTCGTTTAAGGTGATAGGACTGGTAGTTGAATCCCATACGCTGTGAGAAAATTCAACTGTCATTATCACCTTAACGAAATAAGGCGAATAAATGTATAAATAATTTACTGGTAGCCTCGAAAACCCACTTACAAACCAAAAAGAAATTTATTTTCCAAGAACTATAATTCAAAATATTGTAGCTAAATTTTTACTTGCGTAAGCAAAACATTAGGAAGAACCGAGATTGAGAGAAATCGGTAAAGGAAGAAAACGAGATAACGTTCCGTTCACTTTTCGTGCGCTAGTAAAAGGCCCTCTTGTAGGATATACTGAAGGAAATTCGCATTAGGGTATAAACATTAAATGGGCCATAAAGACCGCGGATAAAAGACACAGGACAATCGATGACATTGAAGCATCGAAGATACACATAGAAAGGCGCCTAAGTAATATTTAAACTCAAACGATAAGCAAGACGCAAGTTGGTAAAGCTCATCTGCAGTAAATTAGTGTGACCAATTATTTCATAATAATACTCATTTGTGCCTAAAATAACTCGTTTAGGCTAAGCAATTAGGTAAACTAAGTAAGTTCTACTGAGTGAGTTCTACTCACCAGTTTAGTTAATAATTTCACAGATCCAGAAGTGATTTTTCCAGTGTTAAATTGTTTACCAGTGCCATCCAAAGGAAGCCTTACCTGGTGCCAAATAAAAATTGAGAAAAACTGAAAATATTATTTTAAAATGTAATAGGAAGAATATATACTTAACCTTTGTCAGATCATATATAGATTTAAGGAATGTTAAATTAGTGACTATTCACTAGAAAATCGTCTTTTGACGATGGCCAATTAGGAAATAAAGTTCGGAAACAACTGCACCATTTTTACAACTAAAAGGTCATCTATCATTGCGTAAAACACTGAATGACTAGAGGGTGTTTAACTGTCAAAACTTTTGTTCGAAACATCGAACTTCTCGTGAACGCACAAATTATGAGTCAAATAAATCTACCTGTCGCATGAATAAGCTCTACAATTTGGGAATCCGCTCATTTATAAAAAAAAATTTAAGTCCCTCTTCAATTTATGACTCAGGATCGTAAAAAATGATAACAAACAAGGACGAACACAAAAAGTTATACTCGAATATAACACATTTATGAAGTGGAAATAAAGACAAATGAGAAATAATTTAGAATAATGACGATGTTAATAAATTCCACGAAAGCACCAATGGGTAAGCGACTAAGAAGTGTTTTGCTTCTGACAGCCATGGTCACAGGTTAAGGGGGCAATGATCTAGGCACAATAAATAAGAGATAAATATAATGCCTCATAAGTACTCACGAGAAGGCCATACAGGCAAGTAGGATATAGAGCTTGTGAAGTTGAGTTAGGTCAGGCACCCCAAAAGAGGAAAGAGTTAGGGATGAAGCATGGTTAAGTGTAGATCCACGGTAGATTGTATCCTGATTTTCATTGATACGCTGACTAGGAAAATCATCAGATGGAGGAAAATAAGCTGAAATCGGGAGGTAACTTCCGCTCATATGAGGATTGGCAAGGGATCCTGTGGCAAACTGCAGCTAGATTATAAAACCAAATAGAATACTGAGACAGAACCGTATGAATCAGGATGAGTGCCAAAGGATAAGAACTTAAAATTAAAAAACTCGAAAAATTCCAGATGAATGATTCTTAAAATTATAAAGCTAAGCTAAGATTACATACAATTTTCCAATACATGATTATGCTTAGTAATTATACAAGTAGACCTCACATTTCCATTGGATTTCATTTAGCTTTGCCTCCCAAAAGTAATTCTACTCTAGGATGGGCTACAGTTTCGAACTCGCCTTGGTCTCGTCAGCACTATCTACAGGAATCAAAACAGGATAGTAAAAAGTATAATCTCGACATGGTACCACTACGCCGCATTGTCACCAATGCCCCTAGGTCAAGGGCATATGACAAATTCAAGAAAGGCCAGGTCTTAGCAAAGCTAATGGAAATGTGAGATATACTCAAATCGTGAAAGGAAAATTCAAATATCAGATCCTCGTCATCCTATGCGACTGAGGGTGAACTCTTGCTTAGGATCTATTGATAATTGTTAAATCCATATTAAACAAATAAAGGAGAAATCAAGTTAATTACAGATATTTTATGGTGGATCTAACATAATTGCAGATTCCAAACTATTTGGATAAAATAATTTAAAAAACACACATCAGAAAGATAAACGATATGTAAATAACCTTTCATTGGTGCCGTTTTTAACTTCAGGCTAAGTTGCACAGACGTTCTTAGCTCAAAAATAAAGGAAATTGCCCTATTAAATCTATTTTTAAGTCACCAAAACATAAAAATGGTTTCCAATAGGTTGTTCATAGGCAAATAATTAATATTTCTAAATTGAATATAAATGGATACTAAAAAAGGAAGATAGAATAAACCATCAGGACTTTATAATGGCCAGATATAAACCTTGGCTGGCTTAGCAAGACAATCATTTTTGAAAAGAAGCTTCATACATAGCTTAAAAACAAAAATAAATTTTCGGCATACCAAAATTTCTTAAACTTTTAGAATATGAGTAGAGTTCTATAACACTTAAACAAGCACCATGGCTATCTATATTAATAGAACAGGAATGAAAAGATGTCTCTTCTTACAAGATAGACGCTCAACTGATCAACGAGTCCATGCCAGATGCAAACATGATGGAAAGCCAGCTGGTTAGGGCAACACTTGGCCAGATACAATAGACCCTGAAGTCCAGAGCTGACTACATATTGCCACCCTCTTGACCGTTGTTTTCGAATTGGAGGAAGAATTCCAACTAGTGACCAAGTTACTAGACGAGATAGAAGACTCTCCTGTCGTAGTTGCAGCCACTGAGTATTGTCTTCGCTTGTCGAAATGGAGAGTAAAGGGCCACGAGGATTGGTAGTCGTTGACTTATCGTTCATAAGACGGCAGATTGCCGAAGTGACAAGTTGAGTAGCCCGAAAGCTCTCTAATATTTAGGAAGACAAATCAGAAGCAAAATTAGCGACATAAAGCTATTTTATAACGACTGGAAGTGTTGTTCAAGAGTAGAAATGAGATAAAAATAGCAACGAATGTAATTTCTGAAGAATTCGGCAAAATATAGTACAATGGAAAAAAAGCTTTTGGCGGTATTATTGCTCAAATTTTGATAGCAGAATAAATATGTGGATCTGAAAGCTTATGTACTCAAAAAATGAAGAAATTTTGCAATCCAATAGAAGTGGAAGATAAGTTGCCTTCAGTAGAGTTAAAAAGCAAATCCACCACCTAGAAAAGTGTTCGTATAATCATCTATAAAAATGACACTGATTTATACACAGCAGACAATTTTCAAAAATATGAAAACCAAGATTGTATGGCCCTCGGTGTGTCGCAGTCGCCTTTCGATGTATAGAAGTGGGTTACCTTGTTTTCGCAAATTGGTCTTCTTGCAGGGTGAATTAGTTGGACGCACATTGTCCTAAGTCTTCTACCATAGTAGTTATAATTCCCATTGTCCGACTGTGGACTTGGTACACACTCAGACATTTCACCGGAATCGTATTCGGTATCATCAGTGAGTCTTGTCATTCTCAGCACCAATCTACAATTCATCAGAGACAAGCTGTTGCGCTATCATTCCTCTTTCTGTCGCGGCTCATCTATCTACACTGCACCCTCTTATCCCACTCACGCCCTATAACAACTTCTGAATTTTTGCGAGTCTAGCGTGGCCTTATCACACCTGCTGATTACATTGCCAAAATCTATTTGTACATCCTCTCATGTTGCGTAGGTAGAACCGCTTTTTTCTTTCGTGGTCACCTGAATATTCCATTTCCTTAATATTGGTCGTAGTTTTTGAGTTAGTTCTCAAGAAGGTAAACATATTCACTTTTGCTAATCTTTCTCTGTCCCCGTTCTACATTCGGCTTTACACAGCTCGCGTGTTTCTTTATAATATTTTGATTGGGCTATCATTGTCGAAGAATATTCAAGTTGATTTGTCCGAATCTGCATACAAGAATTCAACATCCGCTAATCGTAGAATTCTGATGAATATGTTCATCATTAATCCTATATTTACCATGTAGTTGTAAATTCAACTTTTTTCTGAACAATTTCCTCTTAAGCGTCCCATTAAAGCGAATCACTCCAACATTCAAAAAAGGTAACCGCCTATCTTCCTCTATTTGAATCGTTAATTTGATTGATACAACAATCTGGTTTTTAAACTTCAAAAAAACTTCCAATTTTTCTCTAACATGTGACCAAAATGCGAAGTAATCGTCCAGGTACCGCATGAGCACTGCTGGTTGACGCTGTTTCCGAGATAATCTCTTTCGATTCCGGTTAAAATGAGCTAAGCTTTCGTCCATCGTATTAGGAACATGATTAGAGCAAGGTATACACCTTAAAACCAAATTCAAGCAAGTCAAGATACCTCACCAGTTCATCCTCAACAAGCTGTATATATACTCTATATCCGGGCACTTCGATAAGATATAAAGCGATTTGGTTAGTTGCAGTCATATGTCAACCTCGGAGCATGTGAGTATGCCTGTCTCTGTATGTGTTTGCATATATGACACAAGCAGTAATTAGGACAGAAAAAGTAACGTCTGTTCTCGACCATCAAAATCTGATGACCGCAATCACTCCCTTTCTATATATTTTAACCATCATTCTAATTTCGCAAGATCGAACATAAGTCTCGTTATGTTGTTATGTATGTCTCGCTTTTCTTCATGTGAGAGAAAAAGGAAGAGAAAGCAAAAAAACAGAAAACCAAGACAAAAAAGACTAGTTAAGTCGCTCCCTTTTTGCAGACGGCTCAAAACCCAAGATCAAGTGAAAGGCAACAGAAAGAAAGGCCTCATACAATGAAAACACAAAGAAACGGAATATTACAGAGGCCATAAACATTCTCAGGGAATAAAATCGAATGAACAGGAAATTGGAGGAAGGCAAAATTAACGATAACTTTGCCTACTGCTTAAGCAAGCTCGAGGAGACAAGAATACAGCAAGATCAGCAAAAAAGAGACGCCTGAATCAATAACCTATCGTTAACCAGGGGAAAATGGATTGCGAGGAGGAAAAGGGTGGGGAAACTTGGAAATCAAGTGAAGACGTTCTCAGGGAGTAAGGTCTGCTCGAAGAAACCACTACAACTCTGGGGGCCTGGTGGTCACGGTACCGAGGAGATGAGTAAGCAGAACCGTCACAGAAATCCGGCATTATGGCCAAAATTTACTAGAAATCAACTCGAGACGCAACGGGCGACCAGGGCGTCCAGTTTGCTCAGGTTACAGGAGTAGCACATACTTAACCTTTAAGATAAGGTTTATGAATAGATGCGAGGCCTCTCAATGTGATCTTGTTTGGCTCCCATTTTAGCGAACAATAACATGTTATTAATGGAGGAACGCTTCATGAAATAGGTAATAATGATACCTAATCTTTTAGTTAAATATTTGGATGACTACTTTATCATATGGCAACA